CTTGGTGTCCAAGAGCACAACCTGCCCTGCGCGGAAGGGTAAATTCCGTCGATGCTTGTCCGCCTGGCGGCTGGCTGTGGTATTAGCCCGTCGAATAAAATCAGCTGCTTTCGTGCGAGCGGTCTGCAGCTCCGTGACAAACTGCTGCGAGCGTGGGACCGGGTTGTCTATAGTCGTTGAAGAGGGTACCACGGGGTCTATCCCGTAATTTAGGAAGAAAGGCGATTGTCGAGTCGTGGCCGAAGGGGCGTTGTTGTACGCGAATTCCAGCATCGGCAGCGAATCCTCCCACTTGCGAATATTTGGGTAGTTGGTGCGAATCAGTTGCTCCATGGTCTGATTTGTCCGTTCCGTCTGTCCGTCGGTTTGCGGGTGGTATGACGACGAAAACTGCAGGCGGGTACCGTACTGTGCCCATGTCTCCTGCCAGAACTTCGACGTAAATTTCGGGTCTCGATCGCTGATGATCGCCGAAGGTAACCCGTGTAGGCGTACGACGGTGGAGATGAACAGTTTGGCTGTATCTTCGGCTGTGATCGTCGTTCGGCATGGGGCGAAATGCGCCATTTTCGTGAGGCGATCGACGACGACCAGCACCGAGTCGTTGCCACTCGCGCCAGCTGGTAGCCCCGTGACGAAATCCATCGTCACTTGTTGCCACGGTCGTTCGGGTGGCTCGAGGGGTTGCAGCAGTCCGGCTGGCCTTTGTCGCGACGACTTCATTGCTTGGCAGGTCGGGCAGGTTGACACGTAGCGCTGCACATCGGTGAACATGTCCGGCCAGTAATAATTCCGCTGCAGCAGCTTCAGTGTTTTGTCGGTGCCGAAATGCCCGGAAAGGTTGGAGTCGTGAACCTCCTGCGTCAGCAGCTCCCGTAAAGGCTGGTATGCTGGTACCCAAATCCGGTTCGTACCGGCTTTTAGGTAGTACTTGCCGTGCGGTGTAGCAGCCTGTTGTTGCGGGTTCCGAAAAAACCTGTCGATCTTGTAGCCGTGGGTGAATAGTCCCGTCAGCATCGGGTTGGTGTGGGCGATTAGTACCGCTGCATTCTGCATGGATGGCCGGGTTAGGGCGTCGGCGATGTTATTGGCGCTCTTTTTGTACGTGATGGTGTACCGAAAATTGGACTCGAGGAAGTCCAACCACCGGATTTGTCGCGGGTTGAGTGTCGGTTGCGTGCGCATGTACTGTAGTGATTTGTGGTCGGTCCGAATGGTCACGTCGGCTCTCGTAAGGTAGCAGCGCCAGACGCGGAATGCATGGACGATGGCCAGCATCTCCTTGTCGTGGACTGGGTAGTTGCGCTCGGGTGGCTGCATCTTGCGTGACTCGTAGGCGATGGGTTGCAGCCCTTGGCCGAAGTCCTGTAGCAGGACGGCGCCGACGGCGAAATCGCTGGCGTCCGTGACGACTTCGAACGGTCGAGATGGGTCGGCGAGGCGGAGTACCGGGGGTGACTTCAAAATGTTTTTGAGGGCGTCGAAGGCGGACTGCTCCCTCTCCCCCCACCGAAAATCGCTGTCATGATGCAGCAGGTCGGTCAGCGGCTTGGTTATCCCTGCCATATTAGGTACAAAACGACGAACGTAGTTAACAAACCCCAAAAAACTTTGCAACTCAGGGATATTAGTAGGCGGCTTCCACTTAGCTATGGCGTCCACCTTACGTGGGTCAATTTTAATCCCCTCGCCGGAAACCACGTGCTTTAAAAATTCTAATTCCGGCTTTAGGAACTCGCACTTAGACCCCTTCGTAATCAGCCGATGCCCCTGTAAACGCCGGAACACCTCCTCTAAGTCCCGCAGATGATCTTCTTTTGTTGCGCTGTACACCAGGATGTCGTCCAGATACACGATGACTTTCTTGTCCAGCATGTCCCGAAAAATCCCGTTCATGGTGAGCTGGAACGTCGAGGGCGCGTTTGTCAGACCGAACGGCATCACTGTGAACTCGTAACTGCCGTAGCGGGTGCGAAAAGCGGTCTTCGGGCAGTCGTCGGCGAACACGCGAATTTGGTGGTAGCCTCCTCGCAGGTCGATTTTCGAAAAATACCGAGCTCCGCGAAGTTGATCCAGCAGATCGTCGGTTCGCGGGATCGGGTAACGCGACTTTATCGTGACCCGATTCAGTGCCCGGTAATCAATGCACATGCGTAGGCCCCCGTCCTTCTTCGGCGTGAACAGTATCGGCGCTGCATACGTCGACGTGCTTGGCCGGATGAAGCCCTTGGCCAGCAGATAATCCAGCTGGGCCCGCAACTCGGCGAGCTCTGGTTGGCTGAGCCGCCACTGTGTCCGAACCGTAGGTTGCGCTTCTGGTTCCAGCTGGATCCGATGATCCTCAGGTCGTTGGGGGGGCAAGCCATCCGCTAGGTCATCCGCGAAAATTTCGGGATACTTCCGAATGATGCTCGCCAATTCCTCGGGGACTGCCGCGCAGAGGGTGTCGATGTCCGCGATTTTCTCGGAAGCTGCCACCTCGTACAGGTGCACCAAGAAGGCTTGAGCTCCGCTGTTCATCGCACGCTGCATGTTGACCGCGTTGACACGTGTCGTCACCGGCTCCGGCTCCGTCCATTTCGGAAGCGTCGTCTTCCCTCCGTATCCTCGCACGACGCACGCCCCAGTCGTCCAGTCGATCGTCGGATTGAAGCGCTGCAGCCAATCTCGCCCCAGCAGCACATCGCAGCCGTCCAACGTTGTCGCCAACATCTTCATGCCAAACCCGAATTTTTCGCCGCACTGTATCCGAATTTTTCGCGCTTCATCTCGGATGGCCAGCGGTGTCCCATCCACCAGCCTTGCATCGATCTCCGGCAGACACCTGGTCAGCTTCACCCCAATTTTTTTGGCCGTTGCCAGGTTGACGAGACTGTGGCTCGCCCCACCGTCAACGAATATTTTTATTTTATAACCGTTAACCCTCCCCACCACCAGCACAGGGTAGTCCACGTGTTCACCCACGTTATTCGTCCGGTTCTGGTCGATAGCTCTGATCGGTACCACGACCCGGTGTGGATGGTGATTGTCGGGCGACAGGGTCTCGTCAGTAGGTGGCCCTTCTGCTACTGACTCACATCTTTTCCCGACCCTTCTCCGTCGTTCTTCTTCCCCTGCTTAAGCCTCGGGCAGTCTTTCTTCAGGTGGCCCAGCTGGTTGCATTGAAAGCACGGCCCAAGGGCTCGGCTCGGTGCATCCACGCCGTTGATCGTGGGCTGCTGGGTCGATCCACGAAATCGAGGGCCCTCCCGGGAGCTCGATCTCGCCCACTGCATCAGCGCATCCGTTGACTCGGCTTCCCGGACGGCGTCGTTAAATGTGCGTGGCCGGGTTCGTCGGACCTCGTACTGTATCTCGTATTTCAGGCCCGCCACGTAGCGATCCAACCGCTCCGCATCGCTCATGTCGTCCACTTGGTCCGCCAAGTTGCAGAATTTGCTGGTGTAGTCTTGGACCGAAGCCAACTGCTTCCAGGTACGCAGCTGCATGCGAGCAGAATCCGAATCTGGTTCGCAAGGCGGCGCCCCACTCCTTCCATGTGCGTATCGTGGCCGTCCCGAAGATCGATGTTGCCCGATGCGTGACAGGTGTTGAAGTCCCGTCGTTCGCACGTGCTGTTCCTGCCGAAGTCCCTTCGTGTTGCAGCGTTCGCCTCCACCACTCCAGCGCAGGCCCTCGCAACAGTGAAACTGCGAAATTAATGCGGGTGGCATCGTCATAAATCATGGCAGCATTGAAAAACACCTCCACGCCGAACAACCATGCAGAAACAGTGACGAACTTGTCACTCGGGTTGAACGGGGGCGGGTTTGTCGGCTTGATTTTCACGAAAGCCGTTGTTGCCATCGGGGCCGTCGGCATCGCTGCTGGTGTCGCCGTGGTTGTCGCTGCTGCACGTGTCGGCGCTGCACGCGACTGTTGCGGTGACTGTTGCTGTTGCGTCTGCCTCGCTTCATCCACATCTATCTCACCCTCCAACTCGTCCCAGAGCCGCTCCTCCGGTGCAGTGCTGCTACTTGCATCGTCCACGACAGGCGACTCCTGGCGCGCTTCACCACGCGCCTGGTGTAGTTCGGCGTTTTCCTTCTGGAGACGCTCCATTTCTGCAGCCATAGTCTGCATGGTGGCCTGCATCGTCCGGAACTGTTGCATGAACTCGTCTAACTCCGCCTGTTCCATGTGTCGCAGGCTTCGTCTAACGGGCAGGGGGTGGCTCGCGATTTTTCTGACCTGGTGAAGGCGTTAATGCTATCGTAGTCGGAGTGGAATAATCAGATCTATTCCACGGGCCGACCGCTTAACAGCCCACCAAGTCTATCGCTCCCCTTCTACAAACTACCCCGGAAACGCGAGGGTAACCTAGGACTTTAGGCTCTGATACCAAGTGTTATGAGTCGTGAATGAAAAGAGTGCGCAGAATTCAATAACGCTGAAGTGATTACAACGTCTGAATGAACAACGAGGCCTAGGCACAATATAGCAAGGCTAGCTAGGCCGAGGTCGCGGGGTCGCGAGATGGTTGGGTGCAGGTTCGGGGTTGGAAAACCCGAAGGCGACGCGGTGGTGGCTCGGAAGGCGAGGTCGGCGGGCCGAGCCTGGTTTTCCGAAAGTCGGGGTTGTACGCGTACGGAGTGACCCAGCAAGGAATCCAAAAAATTCCTTACACGGTCGTCCAAATGGATTTACGCGCTGAAACTAGGAGGGGATGCGTACGACTGGACCTTGTAGCGCGTACAATTCGTGAAGGAAGGCCTCTGGCAGTTGTTCCTCTTGAGTGTAGCCTAGTGGTGTGTAAATGCTCTAAACGGTGAATGCCACGGCGCCAGTTTCCAAGTACCGTATACGGTACATGCATATCCAGGGCCTAAACCCGCCATTAGTAAGCAAGCCATTTGAAATTTCCAATTACCCAGCATGGTGTGGACAGTGCACCAGATTCCGAACTTGCCGCCCACCCTGACAACAATGGGAAGAAATAAATGAAGGGAATGATTTACATTTTATTGCCCCACAATAAGGGACAATCCGTTAATATTATCAGGACAGCGCTCAAATGGTAAATTTGGATCCGATCTGTTATACGACTCTGCATCCCCAATAATCTCCCCACTAGGACACTTGAACCCATGCGGAGGATGCTGGAAGCACGGCTCGAGTGGCATCTGTTGGCAGCTAGCGGAAACAAAGAAAGACGGGCGGCCGAAGAGAGACGAGAGGAGATACCCAAAGGTGGAGGCAGGGGAGGTGAGGATGATATCCGAACCTAAGGCAAGGGAATAGATATCCACTAGTGCATGTTCTAACTCAGCATCCAGTCCCGATTGCGAGACCTCAGTAGTGATTCGATCCAAAGAGAGGGTCCCGTTGCGGATGACATTGCTTTCAGTGATGTTGGCAGTGCTGCTTGTGGGATCAATGGGATAGAAAGTGGTGACTAGAGGAGTAACTAGACCGGTCATGGTGGTCCCGCTGTTGGTGATGTTGGCGCTGCTGGTTGAGGTGTTGAGAGCGGTGCTGTTGCTGTCAAGAACGGTACTGTTGCTGTCAGAGGAAGGTAAACCAGCGCCATTAAGGGCTCTATTGGCTGTCTCGGTACTGTTTTCACCGCCCGGAGTTGGTGAGACGCTGCTGTTGCTGTTGCTGCTGCTGCTGCTGCTGCTGATGCTTACACCGCCTGTGACTGTAGCTTTACTGTAAGAGAGGTTTGCTGAGGTGACGTTGGGAAAGAGTTTCTGGGAGAGATTGAACGGCGCATATTGATTCAGACTCGCGATCAGAATCACTGTTGTGCCCCCAGCGGCATCACCACTCGCACTGGCGACACCACCAGAACCGGGCTCAGTGCTGTTGCCTGTGCTACTGTTGCCTGTGCTACTGCTGCCTGTGCTGCTGTCACTGCTGCCTGCACTGCTGCTGCCAGTCCCACCTTCCCCAGATAACCCCCCCACACCGTCCATCAACCCCCTTCCTTCCCCTACGTTCCCCGCACTACCTAATTCCACACCAGCTCCCCCCGCCAGCACCCCACCATCACCAGCAGCCACCTCCCCCGCACCCCCTGCACCTCCCGCCCCTCCTCCGTTCCTCGCCCGAGCCTCCACCAGCACAGGGTGCTGCTGCAGGCGGGTGATACACATGACAGCATGGCGCATGGCCAGCTCTGACGCATGCCTGAACTGCAACCCGATGCGAGCCGCAGCCGGGAGCGCGCGGGCGCGGATATTCTCGGTCACTGCGGCCCAGATTGAGTTCTTTGGGAACATGATGAGCTGCGAGACGGTCTGGAAGATGCGGCCGGCGGGGAAGAGGTCGTTGAGGTGGCGGCGGAAGGAGGGCACGTGGAGGAGCGCGGGGAGGAAGTACTGGTTGGAGAGGAGGATGAGTGAGGGGATGGTGGCGAGGAAGGCTTGCTCGGACTCGCAGAAGAAGAGGGACGTGTTCGGCGTGTTGTGGTATATGGGGATGTTGGCTCTGGGAGGGAAGGGGGGAGGGGGGGGAGAGGTGGGGGGGAGAGGGGCGCGGGGAGGGAGTTTGGGGTTGGATGGGAGTAGGTCCGTGATATGGTGGGGATCATGCATGATATGGTGGGGAGCATGATATGGTGGGGAGCATGATATGGTGGGGAGCATGATATGGTGGGTGAGCATGATATGGTGGGGAGCATGATATGGTGGGGAGCATGATATGGTGGGGAGCATGATATGGTGGGGAGCATGTTGGCTTCAAAAGAATGGGTATGTTATGGGGTGGGGGGGTTGTAGTGGTAGGAAACAGGTTGACGGAATAAGAAGGGGAGTGTCATGGGTGTTGAAGAGGCAGAGGCTGAATGACCATAGGTAGAGAGCGAGGCTTGACCCTGAAAAAAGCAGAGACTGGCCCCTGCCCCTGCCCCTGCCCCTGCCCCTGCCCCTGCCCCTGCCCCTGCCCCTGCCCCTGCCCCTGCCCCTGCTCCTGCCCCTGCCCCTGCCACTCCCACTGCCACTGCCACTCCCATCTGAAAAACAACCATCACTCGGACTTACATGGTCGGAGCGGGCGTCGTGCCATTGATGCCACTGGTACCATTAACCAGCACATCCAACCGCTCTGGAAAGAACTGCATCCCTTTGCGCGCCACCACGGACGACAAATAGAGGTCCACGGACTTCATACTCCCATTGAACAGATGCCACCGCTCGCCCATGCCCTCAAACGGCGGACACATCACCTTCCCAGGCCCCATATCCGTGTATAGAAGGAAGATCCGGTTTGTTAGGAGCGCGTATACGAAGGAGGAGATGAAGGAGATGTATTGGTTGCCCTGGCCGTCGCCTAGTTTCATGTGCCAGAAGAGATAACGGCAGTCCGTCGCGTTGCCGGCTAGCAGCTTAGCCTTGACGGTTTCGACGGGTTCGCGGCTACTGCACGCGCGGAGGTACTCGTGGTACGCGTGTAGCTTGCGCTTGAGCGCGGGGGAGCGCTCGGGGGTCCCCCGCGCGCCCGCGTAGCAGGGTAGCTCCGCGCGGCTCCAGCACGCGCCCTCCGCGCGCTGGTAGCGGGAAGGGGAGAGGGGTGTTGCGGGGGAAGGAGAGAAGGCGGAGGCGGAGAGAATGGCAGGGTCGCATTCTGCGGAAAGAAGGGGCGGGAGGGGGAAGGGCACGGGAAGGGGAGAGAGGGAAGGGAGGGAAGGGAGGGAAGGGAGGGAAGGGGGAGGGAGAGGGAGATATGGGGGACGAAGAGAGAAAGAAGGAGGAGGGGAGGGAGAGGGAGGGGCCGGGAATGGCAGTAAGAAGCTCGCATGCGCGGAAGGAAGTAAGGCGTTGTTGTAGGAACTCAAATTATGATTATTAATGAGTATGCAAGTCAATGGTTACAATCATGCAAGTTACCATGGAGCGTGGGAGTGTTGGTGGTGGCTATAACGAGTATCGCATCCTCCCATAGCAGAGCTACTAGGCCAACCACAAGCGGCAGCGCGGAGAGAACGCGCCCGCGCCACGCGCCGCACCACCGCGACGGCGCGGGAAATGCGCCCATCGGGGTGCGCCCGTTGCGGGCGCGCGAAGGGAGACGCGCGTGGAGGAGAGATGCGCGGAGGGCGGGAGCGCAAGAGAACCACCCCCTGGTCGTAACGTTCTTGTGATCCGGATCGCGGAAGGATATTTCGACAGCGAGTGCCCAAACTGGGAGCCGATGGGGAATCGCGGATCGGCACCGAGAAAATCGGGCGCCAGCTTCTGAGCTGTCGATTCTCTCGATTCAATTGCTAGGGCGGTCAGCCTATGTCGGTTCTACTTGCACAGGTAGACACACAGGCGATACGAGTTGCCTTGATGAAGTGCGGTCAGGTTCTTTTTGTTTCAGAGCGGCTGCTATTTATTGTAGAACGTTTGGGTAGGACCTCGAGCAGAAATACAACCCGTATTTGGAGACGCACTAGATGGGCACATGCACGCTTGACGGCTGAAGCCTGGTGGGTGGGTGATGCTCGATATAGGAAGTATACGCAAGCTGTTATACAAGGATGATTTCAGATGAAGCATAATGTTATAGAGAATATGAACAGTTTTGTAATGTATGAAGGAATGCGCCTTATTTGCCACAATCAAACAGAAGGCACGTCGCCATTGACTGGGCAACCGCACCTGGACCTCGTTTGAACAACTTCAGGTACGTTTGAGCCAGCGGAATTCTGCATTCCCTAGGTGCGGTAGGCGTCGCCGCTGCACGGAATGTACCGATTTCGAGGTCCGCCTCTGCTTCGGCCCAAAAGGGCTTGCTGGTTTGGGCGTTGCTGCTTCGGTATTTTTCAAGCTGTATCCCCAAGTTTAGGCTCGAACAAGCTTGGTTCGTTCCAGCCAAACCTGGGTTCTACTCTTTATACCGAGCCACCCGTTCTCCCTCGCTGCCCCTCTGGCGCGCTTCCTAACCTACAGCTGGCGCCCTAGCCTAATCTAACTGGCTAGTGTTGCTATGGAACTGTTTCTGGTGCTGCCCCTGCTCCTACTTCGGTGTGGTGCTGGAGCTCTACTACTCCTCTCCCCTCCGCTCCATCCATGCCTGGGAATTCAACCTTCACCCCTCCCTGAGGAGAGAGGTGCATTACCCTATTCCATCCATTCACAGCTGCGAGATTTCTTTATGTTACCCCACTGCACACGGGTGGGAATTCTCACATGAAACAGTTGAGTCCCTGTGCGTCTATACTCTAAAAACTTTATTTCGGTACACTTCCAGTCTTAGTCCTGACGTAGTTCGAGCAGCCTTTAGTGTGCGCTATAGTATCAATAATTACCTGGTCTCCTCGCACCTCTTGCTTACACCACTACAACACGGTTACTCCTCATTACGCGCTTCGGTTTAACCTTTATCCGTCTCCGCTCAATGCAACCAAACCACAAAACGGTTATATGAATAACGACATCACACGTGGAAGCGTTCCAGCCTTTATTACCTGAAATCGCGGTAGTATCTAGGCAGCGTTGCAACTTCTCCTAAGTCGACCAGAAGAGCCACATGGCTCTTCTGGAGCATTTGAAGGTCGACCCCGGCAGTATTCGCTTCCAGTGTAAGTGGCTTTCGTCTACCCTACCCTGCAATATTTGTATTAGAATGAACTACGGCGTCAATCTTTTCGTGACATACGTTGGAAAGAAGGAATACAATTAACGAGAACATTGCACATTCACGCGGCACCAACATAAAGCCAATAACATTAAAGTGCCAGCGTGGGTAAACGTTCTCTATTGCTCGATAGCGTATGACCAGTTGATACCATGTGTGCTCGGATTGACCCTGCTCTAAAAAATTTACAGGCATTTGTAGTGTTTTGCATCAGCCAAGCTCCGTGCTACCAATGTACAGTGAATCCTCATGATTGACAGTGTGGTGAACCATTCTATTGCGCAACTGTCTCCCAACTTTTCCATTTTCCTATATTCCTCCTTCCCATTCCGTTCCCCTCGACATCTCCTTTCCCTTCCACTTCCCCTTCCACCTTCCCTTCACGCGGGAGGTGCGCAGTCGAGGTGGGTCAGGAGCTTCGCAGCACCCTCCGCTTCACCAACTTCAGCGACCAAACGCTGGTCATCAGGGTGAGTCAGCGCCGGTCGTTAGGTAGGGTAAGTCAACGCGGATCGTCAGGGTGAGTCAAGTCATTAAGTAGGGTGAGTCAATGGTGGTCGGTAGGGTGACTTAACGCTGGTAGGAGGTGAGTCAACGCCGGTCGGTAGGGCGAGTCAACGCTGGTCGGTAGGGCTAGTCAACGCTGGTCGTCAGGGTAATCCATCACCGCTCGTTAGGGACAATGGACCACAGCCACCGCAGAAGTCTAGTCAAGGTGGCTGGCAACCCCAGCCACTGCTCACACGTACACTATAGTGCCTTTTGAGGCGCCTTAGAATTAACCTTACCCCACTTCGCCCTTTTTCCTGGCCATGGCTGGCACCTCACCCCGAGCACTGCCCGCGCGTACACCACCATAGTGCCTCAGAAGTAATCATACCCCGCTTCGCCCTTTTTCCTGGCCATGGCTGGCAGCTGACTCCGGGCACTGCCCGCGCGTACACCATCGTGGATGGCGGCATGCTGCTGCTGCCGCCCAACAGCCTGGAAGAGAAGTCAGGTAGGGCACGGTCGGAGTGTGAATGCGGGGAGTGGATGGGGAGGGGGGGGGGGAGGGGGGGGGAAGGAATGGGGATGACTGGGGAAAGAGAGGAAGTGAAGTAGGGAACTGAGTGGAGAAGGGGGGAGAGAGTGAGAAGGAGGAAGAGGAGGAAGTGTGAGGGGGATTGTGGGAAGGACAGTGCGCTGCAGTGCAAAGTGGGGTCTGGCTAGCATGAGTGGTGCGTTGTTTCATAACCTTGCCAGATTCAACATGACAAATGCACCAGGTTACAGAGCGGTTTTGAATAGCTCCAGCTTACAGGTGGATCTCGTCTACCCGTGTCCCTCTTCCCACACCTGTTCCCCCACCCCCCGCCCCCGTGTTCACTCCGCCGTCTCCTCTCTCCGTGTGCCCCTGTGCGTTGCTACTTCGTCGCGCTGCCAGTGCTGTGTGCTGCCTTCGACAAGAAGCCCTTCTGGTTCCCTGCAGACTTCTTCACTCTCGAATGCTTCCTTGCTAACTCCATTCAAGAGGTCCGTTTCAGACCCCTTTTCCCTCCCTCTCGTCCTCCCAGTCCTCCCTCGCTTGATCCATTCGAGAGGCTCACGTTTGACCTGATCTCGTCTCTCCCCTCCTACCCAGCACCTCCCCCACTCCGCCCTCTTCTCCTCCGCCACTCCACCCTCCTTACTCCTACCTCTTCGTCTTCCTGATATGTTCTTCACTTCTCATCCTATCTCTTCCTTATTCTCTCTCTCCCTGTCCCACCCTCTCCCTTTCCCCTCGTTCTCCCCTCCCCACCCCTTCAACACAACCCACCTCCCCTTCGCGTCCCCCCACGGGTCCTCCTTTTCTCCCGCTCTCCCCGCCCCTTCTCTCTCCCTGCGCCACAGGTGGAGCTAGGCCGTGATGTGGTGCCCATAGGCCGTCGCCAGCTGCAAGTCGCGTTCAACGAACGGCCAGGAGGCAACAACATGCCAGCCCTCTTCAGTAACGTGAGTCTGACACACATACCACACACACCTCACATCCCACCGCCTTTGCTGAGCCGCCTAAGAAAGCCGCAGCAATGTGAAACAATACTGCACACATCCCACCCACCTTTGTTGTGAGTCGACTCAAAACACGACCAGGAGGAGTTAACTCCATACCGCCCTCTTGAGCATCGTGAGTGAGAGACCCGCCTCCCCGCCTCCTCCCCACCTCTTTCAAGGTGAGGCGCCTCTAAAATCTGCAGCAACGTGAGTTGTGGCAAAACAGGAACTGAAGCTAGGGCGTTCACAGGAGTTAAAACCAACCCCTATCGTAATGCGACCTGTATTCCCAGCCAAATGAATGGTTGTTTTTTGACAATGTTATTGCTCCCTACCACCTGCGTGTTCAACAAGCAACAAATTAGAAAGGCCTCTCTAACCTCTTCCCGTCGCCCCTCTTCCCGTCTCTCGCGCCTCGTTCCTCTCTTCCTCGCCCCACCCTCCCCCCACGGCCTGCCAGCAGTCTCAGTCGGGTCACATGCGTGCCTTGGGTCTTCCTGGTGCGTTTTCTGCTGATGACCGCGCCCAGGTGAGTCGAGGGTGCTGTCAGCGTAGGAGAACGGAAGAGGGAGATGGGGAGCAGAGGGGGAGGGTTGGGAGGAAGCGGGAGAGAGGAGCTGAGAGGAGTGGAGAGGGAGGGAGGGTGTGTGCAAAGCAGATACATTAGGCCTTTTTTCTTTCAGCTGCCTTTGCCCGTTGCTTCAGCTGCACTTCTCTTGTTTCGAACCTCTCCCTTCTCCCCTCCCCCCCCGTCCCTCCTCCCCTTTCTCCCCGCTTCTCCCCTTCTTTCGTCCTCTCCCTCCCCTCCTCTCTCCTCTCTCTCTCTCTCTCTCTCTCTCTCTCTCTCTCTCTCTCTCTCTCTCTCTCTCTCTCTCTCTCTCTCTCTATCTCTCCCTTTCCCTCAAGGCGGAGGTGTACGAGGCGATGAAGCAGACGCTGAAGGAGAGCCAGGACAAGCTGACGACCCTTCTCGTGCCCCTCTCTTTCCCTCCCCTCATCTTCCCCCTCCTGCCCCTTCCGCCCCCTGTGCGCCCGCCTCCACTCTCTCCCTCAAGGCGGAGGTGTACGAGGCGATGAAGCAGACGCTGAAGGAGAGTCAGGAGAAGCTGATGGAGCGCGACGACACGATCCGCGCGCTGAGGGAGGTGCTGGCGGCGCTGGGGCCCAAGCTCAAGGCACGGGAGGACGAGCTGGAGGAGTACGAGGTGCACGTGTGCGAGCTCAAGCAGCGCCTGCTCATGGTGGGTTGCGAGGGATGGGGAGCGGGTGGGGGTGATGGGTGGGGGCAGTTGCTGGGGGTGGATGGAGGGGGGTGGGTATGGGAGATGGGGTTGGTTGTTAACGATGGGAAATGGTTGGGAAGGGAGAAGGGAGGAACTTGGAGAGATGGGGGTTGGGTGTGTGCTGGCGACAAGCGCTGGGGGCCAAGCTCAAGGCAAGGGAGGACGAGCTGGAGGAGTATGAGGTGCACGTGTGCGAGCTCAAGCAGCGCCTGCTCATGGTGGGTTGCGAGGGATGGGGAGCGGGTGGGGGTGATGGGCGGGGCAGTTGCTGGGGCCCAAGCTTAAAGTGAGAGAGAACGAGCTGGAGGAGTACAAGGTGCACGTGTGCGAGCTCAAGCAGCGGCTGCTCATGGTGGGTTGCGAGGGATGGGGAGCGGGTGGGGGTGATGGGCGGGGCAGTTGCTGGGGCCCAAGCTTAAAGGGAGAGAGAACGAGCTGGAGGAGTACAAGGTGCACGTGTGCGAGCTCAAGCAGCGGCTGCTCATGGTGCGTTGGGAGGGATGGGGTACGGGTGCATGGGGTTGATGTGAGGTTACAGGTGCATAGGGAGATATGAGGGTTGATGTGAGCGATTGGGGTTGGTTGGGGAGGGGAGGAACCTGGAGAGGTGGGGGTTGGGAGGGGGGGATTAGCTGGGCTGAAGCTGAAAAAGGGGGAGGATGAGCTGGAGGGGTATGAGGTGCATGCATGTGTGCGAGCTCAAGCAGCGGCTGCTCATGGTGCGTGGAGGCGGGTGGGGTTGGGTTGGGGTGGTGATGAATGGAGATTTGATGGTCATGGCATGCTGGTGATGGGAACTTGGACCTCGGATGTTATGATGTCTACTGGAATGGAATGCAGGAGGCTTCTCTGCTGCTACAAATGTTATGATGTCACTTTGCTTTTTTCCATCAGTATTAGCCACTGTTGTTGTGCTTCTCTTGACCACTCCTCCGTCCCATCCCGTGTGTGTCTCTTATCCTTTGTGTGTTTCTTCTCTGCCTGCCATCTTGCAATGCGTATCACATGGATGGAGCAGGCTGAGAAGAAGGTGAACGAGCTACAAACGGCTCTGGTGAGTGCTACAACCCGCGTGGGCTTCAGGGCTCCTCAAACGACGAAATTTTACATGTCGTTGTCGATGCTTTTCTGGTTAGGTCGCTTGATATAGGACTTGTTCTCCTTCACCTGTCTCATCAGACCCACCCTTACCAGGCTGAGCCACTAGGAAATGTCTTTATTCATTAGAAAGGGCGTTGCTGTGTTCCTTCCCTCTCCCTTTCTCACTCTCTCCTGTCCCTTTCTCCTCTCTTGCGCATCGTTCCTCCTCCCCTTCTCGTTGTGCTCCTTGCTTGCTCTCTGTGTTCTTCAGGCTATGACGCCCGACAGAATGGTGAGTTGCAAGAAACGGGGAACCGCCTTTGGGCCTTGGTCCTGTGTGTGGTATTTGCAAAGAGGTCTAATTTGTTTTGTCCTGCTGAGTGGATGTAGCATGCAAGGGGGCTGCAGCTGTAGCATGATCCAGCAGCTCCTATGCTCTCTGTCCATCATTCCCTTATTCTCTTTCTTTTTCTAATCTCGTTCCATCATCCCTCACCCCCCCTAACCCCCCTCCCCTTCCCCCTCAACCGGCGCCACTCCCCCTCCCTCCCTCCCTCCCTCCCTCCCTCCCTCTCTCCTTTCTATGCATACACTGCTTTCACACCCGTTTTTACATTCTTCCCAAGCCTCCTCTACTCGGTTAACTCCCTCTGTCTTTTCTTCAACCTTCGCACTCACCTCTCTTCCCTCCTGCCCCATCTTTCCATCCGTCCTGTGCCCATCTCCCTCCCTTGCCCACTGCCTGCCCCATGCCCTTCGCCCCTCGCCCGTGCCTCTCGCCCTTGGCCCCGTTCCTCTCGCCCTTGGCCCCGTGCCTCTCGCCCTTGCCCCCGTTCCCTCTCCCCTTGACAGAAGGCAGCGTTGGAGGAGGCGGGGGAGAGGGAGGCGTCGTTGGAGGCCAAGTGCCGCATGCTGGAGGGCGAGTGCGAGAGGAGCCGCGCTGCCATCCTCGCTGCCCAGCAGCAGGCCGACTCCCTCACTCGCACGCTGGTCAGAGGAGAGGAGAGGGAGGGGAGGGGAGGGGAGGGGAGGGGAGGGGAGGGGAGGGGAGGTGAGGGGAGGTGAGGGAAGGGGAGGGGATTGAAGTCAAGGGAGAAAATGACGTGCCCATAATGCCTAAGTGCCCATTCACGTTTCCGTCCATAATGCCTGGGTATTCAGATGATGTGATCCTCGTGTCATGTGTGTGAGCAGAGAGTGATGGAGATTGAGAAGCTCAAGGCGGACAGGGAGCGCTCACAGCAGGTCAGTCAGCCCACCGCATCTCTCTCTTACTCTTTCCCGTCCCTCCCTTCACCCACTTTCTTCTCTCCCCTCCCTTCACTCGCTCTCTTTGTTTTCCTTTGCTTTCCCCTCCTCCCTGCCAAACCACCCCGCCCCTTTCCCGTCCCCTCTTTCCCCCCCTTCCCCTCCCCCCCTTTCCCCCTGGGCCCCCCTTCCCTCGTACCTCCTTCATCCCTACCGGCTCTCGTCTGCTGGGCTTGTTGTTGTACACCCCAAACCCCGCCCTTTTTCACCTGCCAGGTGCGCAGTGTGCGGGCGGAGAAGGTGGAGCTGGAGCAAGAGATAGCGCGTCTCAAGGACGCCCCATGGGTGTCCCTTGCAACTCCTCCACCTCTTCCTTAACCCCCTCCCCTCTTTGTGCCGTCCCTCTGCCCACTTCTCATGCCAGGTGCGCAGTGTGCGGGCGGAGAAGGTGGAGTTGGAGCACGAGATAGCGCGCCTCAAGGACGCCCTCAAAGCAGCAGGCGGCCACCTCTCCTCTCCGGACAGGCCCGACCCTCCTCGCCGCCGCCTCACCTCCCAGGTATGCCCAAAATCTCCAACCTCTCCCCACTCAAACCTCTCCGTCTTCCCCACTCCCCCTCCCCCACCCTCCTCCCTCCCCCCCTCCCGCCCGCCCGCCCTTCTACTGGTTTGAGACGTATGTTGTCTTGGGTTTCGTTTTATTCCCAAGGCATTGCACGCACTCTCCAGGCTACACTTCTCCCTCTCTTGCCCGTCCCACGCCCCCACCCAACCCCTCCTCTGTCTGATTATCTGCCTTGTCATGGTCAAATCCCTTCCCTCTCCCCGTTTTCCATCCCTTCCCCCCCCTCTCCCATCCTTCTCCCCCCTCCCGCCCCCCCTCTTTCCCCTCCCCTCCTCCCATCCCTTGCCCACTCCCCCCTCCCATTTCTTTCCCACTCCCCTCCTCTCCAGCTCTCTCCCCACATCCCTAGCCGCCCAGGCTTCCCCACATCCGCGTCTCTCTCATCAGCAGACACACACGACAGGGAGGGCCGTAGGTCCTTCACGCGCTCCTCTAGCCGCAGCAGCCAGGATCTGGAAGGCCGCGAGGGGCTGGGGAGTGTTGACGAGTCGAGCCAAGGCGACAGGGATGAGATGTTTGAGACGCGATCGGTGGAGAGTTTGGAAGAGGGAAGTGAGAGGGGAGTGGGGAGGAGAGGGGAGCGCGGACTGGAGGAGATGGTGGGAGCGGATGGGGAGGTTGCGGAAGGAGGTGCCAGCAGCAAAGAGGTATGGAATGCGGTTGGGGTTGTTACCCTATGGTCTGTCTTTTTTTTGGTCTCGGTACAATGAGTTTCCTGCATGTTTGTACATGTGCATGTGTGCGCCCCTGTGTGTATCGGTGAGGGCGAGGGGGCAGGGGCGAGGGAGGGGTTGCATGGGTATGTGGGTGCATGAATGGGTGCATGCATGGGTGCATGCGTGGGTGCATGCGTGGGTGCATGAGTGGGTGCAATGGGTGCATGCGTGGGTGCATGAGTGGGTGCAATGGGTGCATGCGTGGGTGCATGAGTGGGTGCAATGGGTGCATGCGTGGGTGCATGAGTGGGTGCAATGGGTGCATGCGTGGGTGCATGCATGGGTGCATGCGTGGGTGCTTGCGTGGGTGCATGAGTGGGTGCAATGGGTGCATGCGTGGGTGCATGCATGGGTGCATGCGTGGGTGCATGCGTGGGTGCATGAGTGGGTGCAATGGGTGCATGCGTGGGTGCATGAGTGGGTGCAATGGGTGCATGCGTGGGTGCATGAGTGGGTGCAATGGGTGCATGCGTGGGTGCATGAGTGGGTGCAATGGGTGCATGCGTGGGTGCATGAGTGGGTGCAATGGGTGCATGCGTGGGTGCATGAGTGGGTGCAATGGGTGCATGCATGCGTGCATTGGGGAGTGCTTCCGACACGTGCCCTGCTGAATCCCTTTTGACATATCTCGTAGGTTGCATGGGTATGCATGTGCGTGGAAGTTTTGAAGTGTATTCGAAGCTGTCCTGGTGCACCCCTTTCCTCTCTTCCACCGCGTAGACCCCTACCATCTACCGCACTCCCTACTCGTCCATGCTGTGTGTGTGTGCGTGGCTCCCAGCTGTTGGCATCCCTGCAAACAATATTTCAAACGCATCTTAAACTCATGATGTACCTCACTCGCTATTTCCCTCTCCCCCCTCCCTCCCTCCTGCGCTGTGTGTGTGCGTGTGTGCGTGTGTGTGTGTGTGTGTGTGTGTGTGTGTGTGTGTGTGTGTGTGTGCGTGCGTGTGTGTGTGTGTGCGTGCGCGCGTGTGGTATTTCATTCCAGCTGTTGGCATTGTTGGAGGGCGAGCGTGCGAGGGCAGCAGCAGGGGAGCGGCGGCTGAGGCAGTTGCAGGAGGAGATGAGTCAACTGCAGACAGACCTGATCCGGTGGCAGCAGGTGTGTCTGTGCGTCTGTGAAACTTCTGTGTGACAGTAGGAAGTGAGGTACAGTGGAAATGGGAGCGCGACTGAAAGTAGTGGGCTAGAGAGTCGAGAAAAACGTGGGTTCGGGAGCATAACTGAGATGAAAAGGGGCGATTAGGGGAGATGGGCAAGAAGTGGAACGAGCACTTGTAAACAACTTGCGTGTTCAGGCTGATGTGCCAACTAGAGGAGCAGGCAGGAGCAATTTGCGATGGTCTCAGGTTTTCTCAAGCCCTTACTTGTCTCTCTCACTTTCCCTTTCCTCTTCACTCCCTCCCTCTCTCCCTCCCTTGGACCCGTTCCACCCCGGTGCTGCTGCCCCAGGCGGCGAGGGAGGGCGAGGAGGCGCGGCAGCAGGCGGTGGCATGGCAGCAGCGGTGCACGATGGTGGAGGAGGAGCTGCAGCAGCGCCGCAGCGAGGCAGGCTTCCTCAGAAGCGAGGTCTCCCGTCTGCGCACGCTGCTGCAGGTGGGTTGCAGAGAGCTGTTGTGTCTGTAGATGTTTCTCTGAGTCAACTCACTCGAAAATAAAGTGGCGCAGGGTCTTCCAGGGGCGAGGTCTCCTGCCTGCGCACGCTGCTGCAGGTGGGTTAAGGGAAGCCGTTTTAATTCTTACGGTTAGTTCGAGTCATGTGTGTACGATAAATAAGAAATACAATATTCGAGGCAGGCTTCCTCAGGGGCGAAGTCACCTGCCTCCGCATCGGCTTGTTGTTTATGTGTGTGTGTCTTTTGTGTGTGTGTGTGTGTGTGTGTGTGTGTGTGTGTGTGTGTGTGTGTGTGTGTGTGTGTGTGTGTGTGTGTGTGTGTCTGTTCTCGCACGTGTACGCATTTTTTTGTGACAGGAGAAGGCAAAATCAGGAGCGTCATCTCCTAGAGCAGTAGCAGCGGCAGAGGCCGCAGCGGCAACAGCCACACCACAAGCAGCAGCATCTGCTGCCCCAGCAGCAGCGGCTGCTGCTGGCGACGCAGTGTCCACAGGAACACAAGGCCAAGCACTTGACACAGGGCGAGCAGGGGGATCCGGGACAGGAGGGGCAGCAGGGGGAAGCAGCGAGGACAATCATAGGGATGCAGGCACGCAGGGAGAGGAGGAGGGGCAGGGATGGGCTCAGCCAGAGGGAGGTGCAGCAGGGAGCGGGTGTGCAGATGGCTCTACAGGCGTGTCAGGTGCTTCTATTAGCAGCAGTCATCCTGTGGAAGGTTCAGCTGGCTCAGAGGAGCAAGGCTATGGGCGTGGGAATGGGGGCGGAGATGGTAGGGGGTCTAGTGGAGGTGAAGGGTGGGAAGGAGAGGCTGGGGAACGGAGAGAGGGGGACATGGAAAGAGGAGAAGCAGTGGGAGGGGGTGTTGGAGGAGGGGTAGGAGGTTCAGGGAGGGGCGAGCTGGAAGGGGTGGGAGAGATAGACAGACAGGGAGGGGAGGGGGTTGGGAGGGAGGATAGGGCAGCGTCTGGTGCAGGACGCGAGGAGGGTGGGAGGTTGGAACAGGATGGAAATGCTGGTGGTGTGAGGAATAAAGGCGAGGCAACGGCAGCTGGAGCAGGAGGAGCAGTTGCAGCAGGAGGGGTGTGTGAGAGGTGTGGGAGGGGGAATAACGTGGGGGTAGGGCCGTCCAGGAGCCATGATGCAGAAGAGGCTGCTATGCTCAGATTCGAGGTCAGCTCACACCCTCACCTTGTATCCGTGCCTTACCTCCTCACCTTGCCTCCCCGCCACGTCTCCTTAGCTTGTCTTGTCAGCTCATCGCTCCACACCATCTCCCTTCTCTACCCCCCTTCACCCCCCTACTCACTAGACACTGTGTGTCTGATTGTTCAAATTGTTATCTGATTGGATTCAGACTGTGAGTCGAGTCAGTTTGACTGGTTGGTGGCTGAAATGCGGAGATGAAAATCCAGGACCGACAAGGCAAAAACTTCATCACTTCCATGTCATTTATTCGCTTCCTTGCCTCCTCCTCCTCTCCATTCCCCTCCCCCTGCCCCTCCCCCTCTTCCACCCCACCCCCCCTCCCTCCCCTCCCCCTCCCCCTTCCCCTCCGCCTCCTCCTGCCCCCCTCTCTCCCCCTCCGCTTCGGCTCGAGTCCCCCAGGCGGCGCGGCTGATGGAGTCGATGGCAGCGATGGAGGCGGAGAGGCAGCAGCTGCGCATAGCGGTGCGCGACAGAGACGAGGTGGTCAGGCGCGTTGAGAGGGACGCACAGGAGCTCCGATACGCCAACGAGGAGGTGAGGGATGCGCTGTGCAAGAAGGGTTAGGGGCTCAGCAACTCGGAGCGAAGAGGAGTGTGCGAGAAGTGTTGAGAGAAGTGCCGAGAGGGAGGAGGGTTAAGATGCAGACTGGGGTGATTAGGAGCTGAGGATTTCAGGTGTCTGCTTTCTTATTTGGCGGTTAGAATGAGGAGGTTAAGGAGGAAAGAGGGTCTACTCTCAGACCAGTTCTTTCATCGGCAGTTCTTACTTACCTCCATTGACTGTTTCGTGCCCCACAATGATAATCCGCCTACTTCTTTTTCTCACATTTTCTCTTCTCTTCTCTCTTCCAACCGGTTCCTCTCCCCCTCTCCTCCCCCTTCCCCTCGCCTCCCCTATTTCCCCTTTCCCTCCCCTCCCCTCTTTCCCCCTTTCCCTCCCCTCCCCGCTTATCCCCTTTCCCTCCCCTGCCCCCTTTCCCCCTTCCCCTCCCCTGCCTCCTTTCCCCCTTCCCCTCCCCTTCCCCCTTTCCTTCCCCTCCCCTCCCCCTTCCCCCCCCCTTTCCCTTCCTATCCCCTCCCCTCCCCTCCCCTCCCCTCCCCTCCCCTCCCCTCCCCTCCCCTCCCTCATCCTCCCTCTCCCATCCCTCTCTCCCTCGCCCGTGTTGCTGTGCCAGGCGACCACGCAGCTGGCAACGTATCGCCAGCTCATTGACAACCTCTCCTCCTCCTCGCCGTCTCGCTCCCACCAGGTCTGTTCCCTGACCCACACACCTCCACCTCTCTGGCCTCTGGCCCCTAGGCCGTGGGCTCTGGGCTGTGCGTCCCCACCACCCTTCCTTTCCTGCTTCTCCCCACCACCTTTCCCTTCCTGCTCCTCCCACCACCCTTCCTTTCCTGCTCCCCCATACCACCCTTCTTTTCCTGCTCCTCCGCACCACCCTTACACCCTCTCTTCCCCTCCCTCCCCCTCTCCCTCCCTCCCTCAAGCAGCATGTCGATGTGGAGCGGGAGTGGGCGCAGCAGCTCATCCCGCAACAGCATTCCCCAACCTTCCTGCTCAATGATCCTGTCTTTCCCTGCTTTGTCCCCCACACCCCCCCCTTCCCCCCCCCCCTCTTTCTCCCATGGCAGCACGTGGACGTGGAGAGGGAGCGGGCGCAGCAGCGCATCCTGCAGCAGCGGGTGGAGCAGCTAGCGCAGCAGGTGCAGGCGGGCAGGCAGGACATGGAGGGGCTACGGCAGGCGCTCAAGGCGGCCAGGGAGGACGTGGCTGAGAAGGACGTGCGCATTAGGGAGCTCGTGAAGCAGCTGCAGCACTGCGAGGTGCGTTGCTGGTTCTGCGTTGGTGCGTTGGCTGTTCGGCAGTTTGCGAGGTGCATTGGTTCTGTGGTTCGACTCAGAACAACCCAGGCAGGCACTCAAGGGTGGATTGAGAGGACGTGGCTGAGAAGGACGTGCGCATCCGGGAGCTCGTGAAGCAGCTGCAGCACTGCGAGGTGCGTTGCTTGCTGCTGCGTTGGTGCACTGCAAAGTGCGGGGGTGCTGCAGCAATGCGTCCCAGCACTTCCCCTCGTTTATCCCCGCCCCCCACTTCGAAGTATCCCACTGCCTCTTCTCTCTTCTCTCCTCCTTCCCACGCTCCTGCTCTTCCCTCGTCTCTACGTGTTCTCCTTTTCCCCACTGCTCCTCCCCTTCTTCCCCCTTTCTCTTTCACTCCAGATGAGCGCAGCATCCCAGCAGCAGAAGCTGCAGCAGGCTGTGAGGGCAGCGAGAGAGGAGGTGGAGGAGAAGGAGGATGAGATTCAAGTGCTGGTGGATAAAGTCAGAAGCATGGAGCCTCACGAGGTGGGTCGTTTTTTAAGTGGAATTAAAAAACAGGAGGCGATTGGAGTATTGTTGGGTGTGACGCATGGAGAAGCAGGGGGTGAGGGGGTTGAGGTGGTGGATAGGAAAAAAAGGGTAGTGGATTGGAAGTAGGTATGGTGGATTGCACAACGGTGGATGATTAGACAAGCACACGAAATGCGCCCACAAAACCTCGAGCGGGAGAGTGGGCGGTTGCCTGGATTGCTGGTCTGCTGTGTGTCCTGTCCTGTCCCCCTTCTCGCCACGTCCCCCTCCAATCAACATCCAATCCTCCGTTTTCCCTTCAACCCGTTTTTCCAACCGCTTTCTCTCCCTCCTCTCCATCTCCCCTCCCTCCATCCCTCCATTCCCACACCACACCCCTCGCAATCCTTCGTAACCCCACTCCACCCCTCCGCCCTCCCTCGCCCATACCCATCCCCATGCCCCACCCAGGGAGGAGAGGAGCAAGGGCGAGCGCAGCAGCAGCAGGAGCAGACAGAACAGGAATGCCACTCGCTGCGGCAAGAGAACGTGGCACTAAGGAACAAAATCGAGGGCCTGAGGCAGGAGACTGAACGGCTAAGGGAGGAGATTGAGGGGCTCAAGGAGGACGCACAGAGGGCTGCGCAGCAGGGCGAGGAGTTGAGGCAGGCGGTGCAAGGGGCGCGGGAGGAGGTGGGGGAGAAGGAGGAGAGGATTCGCGCCCTGCAGGACAGGCTGGAGCGGATTGAGATGCAGGAGGAGGTGAGAGGCAGGAGGAGGTGAGAGGCAGGAGGTGCGATGGTTAGGTGGAGAGAATCCGCATTGTGTAGTACGCAATATGCTGGTCTGCGCTTCCCTCGCGTTCTCGTCCACGTCAACCTCTATACAACCCGTTCTCAACCCCTCTCAACTCCTGCATGAATCGGCTCTACAGGACATGCTGGCAAGCACTGCAGGCCTCGGTGCGGGACAAAGAGGAGACCCTGCGGTCACTGATAG